ACCGGAGGTCGTTGTTAACACGGTGCGGGAGGTCAGCAACGCCAATTGGCCGACGCTGACTCGCACCAACTATGGAGAGTGGTCGGTGACCATGAAGGTCAAGCTCAGAGCCCGATGGCTCTGGAATGTTGTTGACAGTGGCACCGACAATGAAGGAGATGACATGTCAGTATTGGAGGCTATCCTCGCTGCTGTACCAGCGGAGTACAGGGAGCCGTTGGAGGCGAAGAGCTCTGCTAAGGAGGCGTGGGAGGCTATTGTGGTGATGCACGTCGGTTCCGACCGCGCAAAGAAGGCGGCGGCCCAGCTTTTGAAGCAGGAGTACGCCAACCTCAAGTTCAAGGATGGTGAAACGATGGAGGACTTCTCCCTCGCCTGTAGATGCTCATCAGCAAGCTGAAGAGCCATGGCGTCACCATCGATGAAGAGGAGGCGGTCTCCAAGTACCTCCACTCCGTGCCGGCAAAGTACATCCAGATCGCTCTCTCCATAGAGACGATGCTGGACTTGTCCACCCTCACCATTGAGGATGTGACAGGCTGTCTGCAGGCGGTGGACGAGCGCCTGGAGCAGGCGACAGCAACAAAGGACAGTGGGAAACTCCTGCTAACGGAAGAGGAGTGGGTTGCTCGGAGGAACTCCGGGAAGGCAGCCTCGTCCAGCTCATTTGGTGCAAGCCAATGATGAGGATGAGGCCACTATCTAGATGGCGACGTTCTGTGCACTGCACGATATCGAGGCCGAGGAGAGGGAAGAGGCGACGATAGTGGAAGGACCTGGGAAGGCCCTGAAGACTGTCAACCTCGACGAACCACACGCCCAAGTCCACCTCGGACGTGTGGGCGCCGACCAGGAGCAGCGGTGGTATCTAGACTCTGGTGCCAGCAACCATATGATGGGCTCCAAGGCATCCTTCTCCGAGCTCGACGACGATGCTACCGGTACGGTAAAGTTTGGTGATGGCTCGAGGGTGGCAATCCAAGGGCATGGCACCATCATCTTCAGGTGCCAGAACGGGGAGCACCGTGCGCTAACGGATGTATATTACATCCTGCAGCTGTGTTCCAACATCATCAGCATTGGTCAGCTGGATGAGCACGGTAGCGAGGTACTGATCAAGGATGAAGTCCTTAGGATCAGGGACCAAGAGCAGCAACTTCTCACCAAGGTGATGAGGTCCCTAAACCGGTTGTACCTGCTCGACCTAAAGGTAGAGCAACCGGTGTGTCTGGCGGCAAGGCACACCGAGGAACCGTGGATGTGGCATGCCCGGTTCAGACATCTCAGCTTCGACGCGCTTGGTCGGCTGGAGAAGATGGTCCGAGGGCTACCCCACATCAAGCACATAGGCGAGCTATGTGACAGCTTCCTGGCCGGGAAGCAGAGGAGGCTACCGTTCCCGAAGGCGGCCAAGTATCGCGTGAAGGATGCTCTCAAGCTCATCCACGGTGACCTCTGCGGGCCGATCACGCCTGCTACAAACGGTGGTCGGCGGTACTTCCTCCTACTCATGGATGATTGCAGTCGCTACATGTGGCTGCAACTCCTGATGAGCAAGGACGAAGCGGCAGCGGTGATCAAGAAGTTCAAGATGCGCGCAGAGGCCGAGAGCGGCAAGAAGCTCCGCGTGCTGAGAGTGATCGTGGCAGCGAATTCACTTCGGTGGAGTTCGTTGCGTACTGCGTGGATCAGGGTGTGGTGCGACACCACACCACGCTGTACTCACCACAACAGAATGGCGTGGTAGAGAGGTGGAACCAGACGGTGGTTGGCATGGCTTGATCCATGATGAAGGCCAAAGGCATGCCGCAAGGTTCTAGGGTGAGGCGGTGACCACGACGGTGTTCATCCTGAACCGCTCTCCAACCAAGGCCCCGATGGGCAAGATGCCGTTCGAAGCTTGGTATGGGCGCAAGCCAAGTGTGTCCTTCCTCCGGACATTCGGCTGCATCGGCCACGTTAGGAAGACAAAGCCGAACCTCACCAAGCTGGAGGACAGGAGCACACCGATGGTGTTCCTGGGCTACGCGGGAGGGTATAAAGGCGTACCGGCCCTACGACCCAAGTGGAGACAAGGTGCTTGTCTCGCACAACATCATGTTCGATGAGATGGCGACTTAGGATTGGTCCAGTCCGAGCACGGGGGAAGCTGGCAGCTTCACCAACACCTTCGTCGTCGAGCACCTGGTCATCCACGGCAATGAAGACGCTGGGGAAGAGGTGTCGAGCACTCTAGGAGGAGTGCCGAGCACTCCAGCGGCAGAGCCGAGCACTCCTGGGACAGTGCCGAGCACTTTGGGAGGGATGCCGAGCACTCCTGGAGGGATGCCGAGCACGCCAGGAGTGGTGCCAGGAGGTTCTACAGTGGCAGTGACCACTCTAGGGCGGGTGCCGAGCACTCCCATGGCTGAGCCAAGACATCTTGCAGCGGTGGCAACCACTCCAAGACTGAGGCTGAGCACTCCTATAGTGTGGCCGAACACTGCAGGAGTTATGATGAGCTGTCTAGAAGTAGTGCCGAGCACTACACTTGGGGTGCCGAGCACTTCAGGTGCTGTGCCGAGCACTCTGGTGGAACAGGGAACTCCATCAACGCTGATCGAGTTCGCCTCACCTCCAAGTGACATCACTGAGTTCATGGACGCCTACCACGAAGGTGAGGAGGTGCGGTTCCATAGGCTGGACGACATCGTCGGCGGCACAGGTCCCTCAGGTCTAGCGGGTAGGCTGCTCAATGACGTAGAGCTGCTACTCGTCAGTGCAGAGGAACCACCCACGTTCGCGCTGGCCGAGCGCGATGGAAACTGGCAGCTCGTCGATCCACCTCCAGGATGCCGTCCGATCAGCCTGAAGTGGTTGTACAAGGTCAAACGGGACGAGTTCGGCGCCATTGTCAAGCACAAGGCGCGCCTTGTGGCCCGAGGCTTTGTACAGCATGAGGGCATAGACTTCGAGGAGGTCTTTGCGCCGGTAGCGCGCATGGAGTCGGCACATTTGCTACTAGCCTTGGCAGCAGCAAAGGACTGACGCGTCCATCACTTGGACGTTAAATTGGCCTTTCTCAATGGCGAGCTGGCGGAGACAGTCTTCGTTAGGCAACCTCCAGGTTTTGCCGTCAAGGGAGAGGAGCACATGGTGCTCCGACTGCGCAAGGCGCTCTACGGGCTGCGGCAGGCCCCACGAGCATGGAACGCCAAGCTTGACGCCACGCTGGGCGAGCTTGGGTTTCAACGGTGTGCAACCGAGCACGCGCTCTACACGTAGTGATGGGGGAAGGAGGAGCTCGTCGTCGGCGTGTATGTGGATGACTTAATCGTCACTGGCGCGTGCACGGAGGATATCAACAGCTTCAAGCGCGAGATGGCAGCTCATTTTCGAATGAGCGATCTTGGCGCACTCTCCTACTACCTCGACATCGAGGTGAGACAGGGAAAGGAGGAACTCACGCTCGGTCAGAGCGCGTATGCCTCCAAGCTGTTGGAGAGGAGCGGCATGGCTGAGTGCAAGCCATGCTGACTCCGATGGAGGAGCGACTGAAGCTGACAAAGGCCAGCACCACGGCGAAGGTGGATGCAACACTCTACCAGAGCATCGTTGGCGGTCTGTGCTACCTAGTCCACACGAGGACGGACATTGCGTTCGCCGTGGGCTACGTCAGTCGCTTCATGGAGGATCCCAAAGAGGATCACTGGGCTACGGTGAAGCGGCTACTGCGCTACGTCAAAGGGACGGTGGATCAGGGGATCATCTTTCCCAAGACCGGCGGAGTAGGCTGCAGCTCACGGTGTTCAGCGATGCAGACATGGTGGGGGACATCGACGGACGACGGAGCACCTCTGACGTGCTCGTCTTCCTCGGGTCGGCTCCAATTTCATGGTTGTCGCTGAAACTGAAGGTGGTGGCGCTATCTACGTGCGAGACAGAGTACCTAGCAGCGGCCACAGCGGCGTGCTAAGTTGTGTGGCTACGCCGGCTGCTGGACGAGCTGACCGGGGTGGAAGCTCACCCACCAGCACTGATGGTGGACAACCAGCCCGCCATCTCCCTTGCGAAGAATCCGGTTCTGCACGATCGGAGTAAACACATCGACGTGAAGTTCCACTTCCTTAGGAACTGTGTCGATGGAGGGCAGATCGTCATCGAGTTCGTCGAAACTGGTCGACAACTCGCGGACGTCCTCACCAAGCCGCTCGGACATCTTCGACTCACGGAGCTGAAGGAGATGATCGGCATGGAGGGGGTACAATGGATAGTAGTAGGTTTAGAGGAAGAATTGTTAGAATAAACTACTGCTTTCCTTGTGTGAACACAGCAAGGGAAGGCGGCGCTGAAAAGGCCCCTCTTTGTGATATTGTAGTGCGTTGTAGGTGTAGGTGCAGGCGCCGCATGGCTCACTGCACCTTTGATCACAGCCACATGCATGCAGGGCAGCACGCAGTCAGCCCTCATATCTTGTCTAGTCTTCATTGCAAAGAGGCAGTCTTTGGGACTAGATGGATAGAGTTGTATAAATAGACTACCACGGCAACTCAGTAAAGAGAGTTCAGATTTGCCATCTCATACAAGGCTTCGGCCAACGCTGGTGTCATGTACTGTATGTGTATGCTCTGTTCTCCCTCTTTTTCAACCTCTAGCCATAGTGTGTGGGGACGGACAACGCCTGTTCATGGTCGGCATGGCTAGTGGGTGCTCGGCAACATTAGCGGGTGCTCGACAAGACTGGTGAGTGGTTCACTCACCTGAGCTGGTGATCCTGTGGGCCAACGATCCATTTGGATGGCGACAAGCTTTCCATTTGCAGACTGACCACTGCTACAGCGAAAAAAGTACCCGGCAAGAGCAAATATGCAATCTTTCCATATATCCAAGACTTGGATACCAGGGAAGGGTGGAGTAAAAATTATACCATCACTTGCGAAATAAACCACAATGATAAGCTCGACAGTGTTCTGCTATGCTATGGTCCGGACTGTTTCAATGAAACAGCAAGGTTGAGAGACATGGCTGCAAAGGAAGCAAGTAAGAATTCACCAAAGGGTGAAAGCAAAGCAACTGCTCAACAGAAGTCTCGAGGTACTAGGCAGCTCAAGAAAGAGGTGGTCGATCTCAGGACCCTCCTCATCCACTGTGCACAGGCTGTGGCAGCTGATGACCGTCTGTTGGCCAGTGAGCTCATCAAGAAGATAAGACAACACTCCTCAAGAGATGGAGAGTGTTGCCAGAGACTGGCATTTTACTTCGTGAATGGCCTTGAGGCACGCCTGGCTGGGACAGGGAGCCAGTTGTTCCACAAGATGCTGGCGAAGCGGATAAGCGAAGACGACGTGTTGAAGGTCTACAACTTTTATCTTACAGTTTGCCCTTTCAACAGGGCATCATACACCTTCGCTAACCAAACTTTTATGGAAACGTCAGCGGGCCACTCCAGGGTGCACATCGTCGATTTTGGTGTCTGCACTGGTTTTCAATGGCCATCACTGATTCAGCTTTTCGGTGAGCAAGGAGTGCCTCCAAGGCTTCGGATTACAGGTATAGAAGTGCCACGGCCAGGTTTCAGCCCCTTGGAGAATATTGAGCGGGCAGGGAAGCTGTTGGCTGACTATGCAAACATGTACAAGGTACCCTTTCAGTATCAGGGCATTTACTCACGATATGAAGATATTCAGATCGAAGATCTTAACATTGACGAGGATGAAGTGCTTATAATCAACTGCATGTACCAGATGAAGAACCTCGGCGATGAGACAGTAGCCATGAATAGCGCAAGGGATAGGGTACTGAAGATCATGAGGAGGATGAACCCAAAGGTGTTTATTTTCGGCATTCTGAATGGATCATACAGTTCCCCCTTCTTCGTGACATGTTTCAAAGAGCTTCTGTTCCATTACTCCTCGCTATTTGACATGCTTGATATGAGTGCTCCACGAGATAATGAAGAAAGAAAGCTCTTAGAGGGTGGAATGCTTGGGCGGGAAATCTTAAACATTGTAGCATGTGAGGGTGCTGACAGGATTGAGAGGCCAGAAACTTACCAGCAGTGGCAAGCAAGGTGCCACAAGGCTGGGTTCGAGCAGCTTCCTCTCGATCCTGCCATCATGAAGTTAGTATTATGGATGAAGAAAGAATTTTACCATGAGGACTTTGTTGCTGATGAAGACAACGGCTGGCTGCTACAAGGGTGGAAAGGGAGAGTACTGTATGCACTGTCCAAATGGAAGGTTAATGAATCATGTGCTGATCAGTAAGATTCAGACAGTTGGTGGTATGCACCATCTGTCCCTTGTTATGCAATCCTGAAGACGACGAGTCCAGAAAACTGTAGACTATAAATTACTTTTGTCAGGTGAGATAGGAGATTGTCATGGAAGCAGGGATTCTGGCTTGATACTCCAAATATTTTTTTTTTCTTCGGTTTTTAACTGGACTATGACGAAAGAAAATGGCTGTAGTACTTTGTTTCTGTCATTCTTTATATGTTCCATAAATGGATTGTTCTTTTTATAAAAGTTCTAAGTGCCTTTTTTTTTGTATAAACACGTACGTCAGATTCATAGAGAAATAAGTCTAGAAACCACAGCAAAGAACCATTGTTTTTTTTTCAAGAATGCACAAGAGAGTTCGTATCTAAGAAGTAAAAAATAGAGTTCAGTTTACAAAGGGGTCAAAGGCACACGCACATGCATGCGTCATGCGCATAAAAAGAATTATGGAAGCAACCAAAGATTGAGCACACGCTAGGCTAGGCAACAAAACTAACAGTGCTACTCCAGCCAAGGGCAGCCAGATGAACAACCTGTGTTGCTGTAGTTTCTTCATGGTTCAAAATGAAGAGCGTTTCGATCCTTCCAAATGTACCAAGTGATCAGCGTGAAGATCGAGTCGATGCTGCGGCGATGTTCTAGCAAAGAACCATTAGTATCCTCTTAAAAGTACTCGTAACCAACGTTTCAAAAAGGTTGGGCCAAAGTGTAGATTGTTTTACCTTTCCAGTAACTAGTTTCTGATTTTCTTTTCCCATGTGAAATTAGTGTGGACCACACGAATATGATATGTGGTTAAAAATATTCTTTGAACTTTAATGTCTAATAATTACATTTCCCCAGATATTAAAATACTTTATAGCGTATCTCTCTAGAAGGGCGGGTCTGGTGCAAGCGGTAGAGTCTTACCGCCTGTGACCGGAAGGTCCCGGATTCGAGTCGCGGTCTCTTCGCATTGCACAGGCGAGAGTAAGGCTTACCACTAACACCCTTCCCCAGACCCCGCACAGAGCGGGAGCTCTCTGCACTGGGTACGCCCGTATCTCTCTATGATCACACAGTCACACGGTGGGGGCACCTGAGCGAAAATTCTGGAACCAAACACACCAGTCTGAATGAATAACAATGTCGCATAGTTTCTGACACAAAACATTTGCCAGGAAGCCATTTGGAACACAAGCTGTTACCTTCATGTCACTATCGTACTTTCCATAAATAATCATAAAGAAGGTTACAAAAACCCATTCATAAAAAGGAAGACGCTGAAAAAGAGAACAAGAAGAAAGTCCAAGAATAGCAGAAAATAATTTGCTCGATCACATCGACAAGAAAGGTTCATCAACACAACAAGAGATTCCAGACCTCCCTCTACCATCTCCTTGAAGAGATTCCAGATCTCTATAAGTTACCAGACAATAACATATTCTCTACGCCTTGAAGGAGAGCTCTTAATCATTGACCTCCCTCTACCATCTCCTTGGGCTCAGAGACTAAGAGAAATAATCAGGTGCTTGCTCATGTGAGTTCACTAGCTGTTCTCAACAACTGTCTAGGTGTTTCATTGTAGTTGCGTTTTTTAGTACAGTCTCTGTGACTTTTTATGTTTCTATATGCAACTTCGGCTTTCCAACTCTCATATACTTGATACACAGATATGTTTCTCAATAGTAGGTGCTCTTCAAGAAGGCGTGACTTTACAGGGCAAGCAAGGAGTAAATACTAACCTCAATAATGGCCACAGATTATAATTGCTATAAGAAAAGTGAAATCATCTTTTGAAGGTATCGTTTTGTACTTTTGTTAATGCTTCCAGCTCAGTTGGTCTCAAAAACTATTGACACCTTCCTATCAGCTTAGGGATTACAAAATTAGAGGAACTTTCATTCCTTCTTTTGGGATTGTTCCTCAAGAGCAATTCCATGTTAAATAAATTGGTTTTGGAGCTTTCAGTTCAGTTCAGTTCTATACAGAAGAAATAGCAGCATTCTCATGCATTTTATTCTTTTCCACTGTAGACACCAATGGAAGTTGTTGATTTTCAACTCCAAGGTACATTTTGCAGTAATTACTTTTGAAAGGAAATCCCCCATTGGGCAATCAAGAAACACTTATTAAAGATTGGATCTATCTTATGCATATCAGAAATTGTTCCATGAAAAGCTGAATCAGTGAAACTCTGAGCAATGGACAACCCTGAGTACTGTGAGATAAACTCAAACATAACTCTCAACTATATAAACCAAATGCTGATGGAAGAAAGCGCTGATGAGAATATTAGCACATACAAACATCATGATGCACTCCAGGCCATGGAGAAGCCCTTCTACGATATTCTTGGAAAGGCATATCCATCCTCACCTAAACAGACTGTGATCAATAGTGGCAGTCAATCAGATTTCCCTGATGATATTAACAACAATTATCATGACCTGGAATGCAGTGGTAGCTCTGTCAGTGATATTCTTGGGCGCAAGGGTGTGCGCTTGATAGACATAGATGGCGGTTCTGAACTTTGCAATGTGGTTTTGCAATTCAACAGAACTGCTGAGGAAGCAAGGAAGCTTGTTCCAAGTATCGAGAAATTGGTGGTTGATCCAGAGAGCAATGATCTTTCCAGTTCCAAACAAACAATTGAGGCAACAATTGGACAACATAGCAAGCATACAAACAAAATAAGGAGCCACCCTCATGTGGACTTGGAGTTGGTGGAGGGGAGAAACAGTAAGCATTCAGCAATCTCAACTAGTGAAATAATCCGGGATGAAATATTTGACAGAGTTCTGCTCTGTGATGAACAGTATCATTGCGATGTGGCTCACCTTAGAGAAATGAAGGCAAAAGAAGCAAACATAACTCTGCAGTATGTCCGAAACACAAGATATGCCCAAGGAAAAGAGAAGTCACAAGGTAAGAAGCAAGAAAAAGAAGAGGTTGATCTCAGGGCTCTTCTCATCCAGTGTGCACAAGCGATATCATCTAACAATCATCCATTTGCCAGTGAGCTACTGAAAAAGATCAGGCATCATTCTTTGCCATATGGAGATGGTTCTCAGAGGCTGGCAAGTTATTTTGCAGATGCTCTTGAGGCACGTGCGGCTGGGACTGGGAGTCAAATGTATCAGAAGTTAGTGATGAAGCAAGCAAGCTGCGCAGACATGCTGAAGGCCTACAGCCTTTTCATTTCAGCATGCCCTTTCGTCAGGGTAGCATACTACTTTGCCAATAAAACAATCGTTGATGTATTGGGGGGTCGACCAAGGGTGCACATAATTGATTTTGGCATCTTGTTTGGCTTTCAGTGGCCATCGCTAATCCAGCGGCTTGCAAAGCGAGAAGGTGGCCCCCCTCAACTTCGCATCACAGGTATTGATGTACCCGAGACAGGTTTTCGCCCCTGTAAAAAGATTGAGGAGACAAGAAAGCGGTTGGCTGAGTATGCAAGAATGTTCAATGTACCTTTTCAGTATCAAGGCGTTGCCTCACGTTGGGAAGACATATACATTTCAGATCTCAAAATTGACAAGGATGAGGTGCTCATAGTCAACTGCTTGCACAAAATGAAAAACCTTGGCGATGAGACAGAAGACATAGATAGTGCAAGGGATAGGGTACTGCGTATCATGAAGAGGATGAATCCAAATGTTCTCATAATTGGTGTCACGAATGGGTTGTACAGCTCCCCGTTCTTCCTACCACGATTCAGAGAGGCTTTGTTCTATTACTCATCACAGTTTGACATGCTAAATTTAACTGTTGCACAGAATCATGAGGCAAGGATCCTGATAGAGAGGGATCTCCTTGGGGCAGATGTGTTTAATGTTGTAGCATGTGATGGTGCAGAGAGGATCGAGAGGCCAGAGAGTTACAAACAATGGCAAGTAAGAATCCACAAGGCTGGGTTCAAGCAACTTCCTGTTAATCAGACCATTCTAAAGAGTTCAGTAGACAGAAAGGAGCTTTATCATGAAGACTTTGTCATCGACGAAGATTGTGGCTGGTTGCTGCAGGGATGGAAAGGAAGGATAATGCATGCACTGTCTTCATGGAAACCTAAAGATTCATAGATTAAAAAGTAGGCTCAAAGACAATATTTTGTTTGGAAGTCAATTACACTTGTAATAATGATGTGATAAACTTTAGTTAATTTGAAACCTCCAAGCTGGTTACGCAATCTTCAGCAGAAAGGTTCAAAGTACCTCGAATGGCTTCTTATGTTGGCTGAACTGATATTGAAACGATTATATAAGACATTGGCTTTTGCTTAAGTAGTAGCAAGTAAAATTTCTCAAAGCTTCGAGCAGCTTCATGTCAATCCAGTCATCTTGAATTTAATACCAGATAGGCAGATACAAAGAAAGGGGTTTATCATGGGCGTTTTGTTGCTGATGAAGGCAGCCGCTGGCAGCTACACGGATGGAAAAGGAGAGTAATTTGTGAGATATCAAATGGAAGCCTAATAAATCATAAGCTGATCAGAAAGCTTCAAACAGTTCTTCGTATGCATGCTTGTAGGTGCTTAACGCAACTTCAGCCTCCTGTATATAGTTATGTAATCTTGCACATAATAAATCTGGATTACAGATGACTACAAGTTACTTATTTTGTCTGGTGAATGTAGGATATTATCTCAAAAGGGGATGACATGGGGATTGCACTATTGACAGTCCATTTTTTAAATTTGTGCATATAATAAAAACATATTTAGAAAAGTGTAGCTACAAAATAATTTCTTTTATTGCCATTTTGTTTATGTACTTAACAGACTTCCAGAAAGATGCTGAGTTAATTTGGCATTTTTTAGTTAGTAAGCTCTCAGCTACTGTTACGTCCTATTGGATATGAAATTGGTAGCAATAACATTTCTGAATGCAGAATTTTCTGAAAAAGGTAATTATTGCAGTGTATATGGTCTACCTCTCAAAATTGATGACATCAATCCTTGCAAAAAAAAATGATGACATCAATGTTCAGAGCAAAGGGGGGCCTGGTGCAAGCGGTAGAGTCTTACCGCCTGTGACCGGAAGGTCCCGGGTTCGAGTCGCGGTCTCCTCGCATTGCACAGGCGAGGGTAAGGCTTGCCACTAACACCCTTCCCCAGACCCCGCACAGAGCGGGAGCTCTCTGCACTGGGTACGCCCTTTTTTTTCAATGTTCAGAGCAAATGCCACCTCTGGTTAGAAGACGGAGGTGGTATTGATCAACACAAGGTTCCTATGCATGTAACATGTTAGAAATGTGGTTAATTTTATCATCCTCCTTTACAAAGAACAATGGATGGAGCTAAATTGAAAATGACAAAAAGCAGTGTTGCGCTGCAGTTGGGAACTACCAAGTTCGGTGATTATATATGAAACCCTAGTAACTTGTTTTTGGTGGTGCCCGGTCAATGCCTAAGGCCTAGCTGTTCTAGTAGCTAGTAGTGGGTAGTTCTGAAGCTATTGTATAACAATGCAAATGTAACTTTTGAAAACCTAACAGTAAGCTGTAACAAACTCTTTTTTTGACAACAATGTAACAAACTCTTTATTCCTTCTTAGTGCAATGATACACAGTTCTCCCACGTGTTCGAGGAAAAAAAACATTTAGTTGAGACGTCTTATCTGTCGCTGCCTGATGTCTTCTCAGGTTTGGAATGCCACAAATGGATACTCATCTATGCTCAAATGACCATGCTAAGGGCCTACTTTTTACTTCCTTTTTTTTAATTTATGCTTCATCTTCACATATAAAAAGAAGGCACAAGACCATACCAGAGAATCACTGAATTTCTCCTAAAATCTTTATAGCTCATAAGTGATGTTTACTTGAGAAGTTATAGCTGTAAACCTTCAAATAGCTGAAAAGCTTACAAAAGCTGGACTTGCTGACTTTTGCTCCTCAAGGATCTAATATTAGCTTCTCTGGTTGGCGGTGCAGCACCATCAAAGGCGTTCCAAGGGGTTCGCGCAAAGGCCTCAATAGTCTGATCATCCTAGTTGCTTGGGAATTATGGAAACACCGAAATGCTTGTGTTTTGAAGGTGCTAGGCCTAGCATAGAGGTGCTGCTTCTATCTGTGGCCAATGAGTTTATGGAGTATGGCAGTTGGCAGGAGCCTCGGCATTACATGACTTCCTTGCTAGGTCGTTGGTCCTAGATCCCTTGTTTGAGGCTGCTGGTCGTGTTTTCCTAGTTTATTTTCTGGAGTGCTGAATTAACTAAACCCCGTGGGGGTGCCTGGAAGGGTTACTTACTTCCCTCCCTTATGTATATTTTTATTATTCTTCTTAATGAATGACTTGCAGCTCTACTGTGTAGTCTGAGAAAAAAACACGTAGCTGAAAAGCAGAAGGAAAATAGATCATGGCCCACCAGATGTAATTCTTCATGATTTATGCAGGAGAGTTTCTCACGGGACAAGCCAACCAAGTCTTGACAACTCAACGCCATAGCCACAGATGAATTGCATAGTTTTATAATATGTAAATTGAACATGAGAATATAGAAGTGCCAGGGAAGGACACAAGAAACAAAAGATGCATGAAATCGATATTCACGTTAAAAAAGAATCAATAGCTGGAGTCATACAGTTCAAGTTCATCACACAAATGTGATACACACATATACAGATGTGTTCTGATTTAATTTAATTTATAATTATCATTACCCAAAGCTACAAAGAAAATCTTTCTATGACAGCTTTCTATATCTTCACGTTCCAAGGCATCTGGGCAAAAAAAAAAAAAAAAGGGTGCTCATTGTGGCTGAATAACAATGTTGCCTAGTTTGTGACAGAGGAAATGTACCCACAAGACATGGAAAACTCTGTCAGCTTCATGCCAAGAAGATGCTTACAAGAAATGTAACCCATCCATACAGAAACATGTTGATAAAAAGATGACCAGAGACAAAGTACAAGAGCAGCACTAAATAATTTTCTTAATTGCATCAACAAGAAAAGCTCATAATCAGCACAACAAGAAATCGCAGTCTCTTTCTTAAGCACCAGACAACAACCAATACTCTCCATGTCTTTAAAGCAAGTTTATTTCATGGGTTTTAACCTTCTTCACCATCCACTAGGGCTAAGAGAGATTGAAGAAAGCTAAGCAGGTGCTTCATCAAGTAATTTTCTGCCATTCACATCAATCAACTAAGCAGAAGTGTTATCTATAATTGCATCTTTTTCGAGTACAGTCTGTTTGAACTTTATGTTCTTATGCAACTTCAAATGTATAACTTTATGTTCCTAAATTTTGACGCATCAACATTTTTCTCAACAGGAGATGTTCCTCCAGAGTTCAGCTTATAATTGCCAACGTATAACTTTACAAGCCAAGTAAGCACTACATCTACACACCACATTATGCGGATAAAACAAGATCTCTACAACTTTTAGAAGAATTATTATACGTTTCATGCAATAGATAAAGTTGTGCTTTTGTTGGTTAGTTGGTCTTGCAAACAACATGTAGCTGCCAGTGAACTTTGGGATTACTTCTGGGATTGTTGCTCAAAATGAATTCAATAATTGATAACCAAATGCAGATCTTTTAATCAACTTCCTAAGGGGCACAAATAAAAAAATCATCCAACTTAGGAGGAACTTATGTGGCATTGTAAATAAGAACTTATGTGGCACTGTAAATTAGAAGTAGTAGGGACATAAATTTTAGTCAAACAGGACTAAAGCTGTGAGGCACAAAGTTTCAAGCTAGCTAATGAGTGAGCAGGACTTTCATTGTTCTGTTGACAGAAGAACTAGCAGCATGCTGACCACTTTTAGCCTTTTTTCACTGCAGCTACTAAACAGGACATCTCAGTTGTGAAGGTACATTTTTGGCAATTATATTTTGGAAGGCAAATCCCTCTACGCATGGCCAAGAACAAAAGTGAAAGGTGGTGTCTATCTTTTGTAGATCATAAACTTTTCAAGAAAAGCAAGGTCTAGTGGAGCTCTAACACAATGGAAAGTCCTGAGTATTGTGAGATAAGCTCAAATATGACTCTTGACTACATAAACCAACTGTTAATGGAGGGCACTGATGAGAAGGCCAGCATATACCAACAACTTGATGCACTTCAGGCCATTGAGAAGCCATTTTATGATATTGTTGGACAGACATATCCATCTTCACCTAAGGAGACAATGATCAGTAGAGATACCCAAGTAGATTGTCCCCAAGACAACTATAGTAAACAGGCACGCAGTGGTAGTTTTGTCAGTGATATTCTAGGGCCACAAGGTATGCACCTGGTAGCCAATGATTGCACTTCTGAATGTGATCGCTTGTCTTTGCAATTTGAGAGAGGTGCTGAGGAAGCAAATAAGTTAGTTCCCAGTATCGTGAAATTGGTTGATCTGGATAGTAATGACCATTCTGATTCCAATCAAATGATCGAGGCAACAATTGGACAAAAGGGCAAGCATGTAAGCAAAATACGAAGCCATCCTCATGTGGACTTGGAGTTTTTGGAAGCAAGGAACAGTAAGCATTTGGCCATCTCGGCTAGTGAAGCAAGCCGGGATGAAATGTTTGACACTGTTCTGCTCTGTGATTGGCAGTTTAATTGTGATGCTGCTCATCTTAGAGAAATCAAGGCAAAACAAGCAAACAACAGTTCACAGAATGTTCGGAGAAAAGGATATGGCCAAGGGCAAGTGAAGTCAAGAGTTAAGAAAGAGGAGGGGATTGACCTCAGGGCTCATCTCATGCAGTGTGCACAAGCAATAGTAGTAAACAACCTTCCATTTGCCAGTGAGCTACTGGAGAAGATAAGGCGTCACGCTTCACCATATGGAGATGGCTCTCAGAGGCTGGCACTTTACTTTGCAAATGGTCTTGAGGCACGCTTGGCCGGGACAGGGAGTCGTGTGTATAAGAAACTGATGGAGAAACGAACAAGGGCCACAGACATGTTAAAGGCCTACCGCCTTTTTTGCAGTGTGCCCTTTCTCTAGGGTAGCATACTACTTCTCCAACCAAACAATGGCTGACCTATCGAACGGACCACCAAAGGTGCATATCATTGATTTTGGCATCACACTCGGCTTTCAGTGGCCATCACTAATCCAGAGCTTTGCAAAGCGAGAAGGTGGCCCCCCTAAGCTTCGTATCACAGGCATAGATGCACCTCAGCCAGGTTTTCACCCCTGTGCAATAATTGAGGCGACAGGAAAATGGTTGGCTGAGTATGCAGAAATGTTCAATGTACCTTTTGAGTACCAAGGTATTGCCTCACAATGGGAAGATATCTGCATGGAGAATCTCAATATTGACAAAGATGAGGTGCTTATAGTCAACTGCATGTACCGAACAAAATATCTTGGTGATGAGACAGAAGACATAGACAGTGCAAGGGATAGGGTACTGCATACCATGAAGAGGATCAACCCAGAGATTCTCATTCTTGGCATTCTGAATGGGCTCTACAGCTCCCCATTCTTCCTGCCACGATTCAGAGAGGTTTGTTCCATTATTCTGCGCTGTTTGACATGCTCGATGCAACTGCTCTACAGAGTCATGAAGATAGGATACAGATAGAGAGGGATCTGCTTGGGCCAGAAGTACTTAATGTTCTAGCGTGTGAGGGTGCAGAAAGGATCGAGAGGCCAGAGACTTACAAACAGTGGCAAGTGAGATGTCTCAAGGCTGGGTTCAAGCAACTTCCTGTTGATAAAGCAATCCAGAAGAGATCAATAGATGAAAAAAACAAGCATTATCATGAAGACTTTGTCATCGATGAAGATAGCAGATGGCTGCTACAAGGATGGAAGGGGAGGATAATGCATGCGGTATCCTCATGGAAACCGAAAGAATCATACACTAATCAGTAAGATCCAAGTAGATCTTTGTGAGCAAGCCAGCTAAATTTGTGATGATGGTGTGAGGACCTTTAGACAATCTTAAGCAGAATGAGTTTCGCAAATTACTTCTCATGTTTGTGGATATTAGAGACAATCTTGGATAATGGAAGGCTATGTTGTTGTTGTTGTTGTCTTGGATAAAGACACACTGAATTTTTGGCTTTTACATATCCTCTAGTCTAGACTCTCATTTGAACAACTGTAAGTGCCACATTAAACAAGGCAAAAATGAGTTTTGGGAAAGAGGTGATGGGTAATATAGGAATGAATAGATATAGCAAGTATGAGCACCCTGGTCTATTGATTCAGGTTCTCCCCACACCTTCCCTATCTACCCTCTGATTGCAACTGGTGTCCCTAGGTGGCTACTCCGACTATTGACAAGATTTGTCGAGCTTTTCTTTGGAAAGGGAGATCAATGGAGGTGTCGATCTTGTTGCCTGGGAAAAAAGTACGTATGCCAAGTGAGCTCGGAGGGTGGGGTATGTTGGCTAGGTGAACACAAAGTGGATCTCAGATTTAGGGTAAGGCCAGATGGCAACTTGGCCCTTGGCCGCTTGATTGAACTAAAATGCAATAGCTTGAGATACAAGATGGTCTATGCCACTGCTTTTATAGAGCAGGTGGCTTCTCTCCCACTCACCTGCTCCAGCACTTTTCTAACCACTAAAGTGGATGCTGAGCATATTCCTAATATTCGTTCAAGAAAAGCATATTCCTAATACTTGGCCATTAGCAGCCAAAATGTAAAGTACAGGAAATAGTAAGATACAAGCACTAGGTTTAAATATCAATCTCCCCCTAAGCCTTGTGCTAAGTCTTAAAGATGATCTGCCTTAGCCCAATTCTCTTCCTCATCTCTTGGAACTTAGACTTGCACAGCGACTTGGTGAGAATGTCTGCCAGCTGATCAGTAGTGGCAATGTGGTTGGCCTTGATGCTCCCTTCCTCCAAGCAATCCCTGATGAAGTGGTACTTGATTCGGATGTGCTTACTCCTGTCATGGAAGACTGGATTCTTGGCCAGATCTAGAGCAGACTTGCTGTCCACCTTTAGCTCCACCACATCGACCTTTCTGCCAAGGAGCTCTCCCAGCAACCTTGACAGCCACAGAGCTTGTGTTGCTGCAGTGGTAGTGGCAATGTACTCGGCTTCACAGCTTGACAGTGCCACCACCTTCTGTTTGAGAGATTGCTAGCTAACCAAGCAGTCACCGAGGAAGAACATGGTTTCACTCGTGCTCTTGCTTGTGTCGATGTCGCCAGCGAGGTCGCTGTCACAGTAGCCAACGAAGCGCGCCGTGCCAGGGGCCCTTGCGTAGTGCAAACCGTAGTCGAGGGTGCCCGCCACGTACCGGAGTATGCGCTTAACGGCCTGTAGGTGCTCCACCATCGCTCCATGAACCGGCTCACAAACCCGACCGCGAACGCCAAGTCCGGCCGGGTGTGCACCAGGTAGCGGAGGCTGCTGACGAGCCGTCGGTAGTGCGTGGAGTCCACCTCCTCCGCCGTGTTGTGACGGCTAAGCCTAAGCTTCTCCATCGGGGTGTGCGCTGGGTTGCAGCCAGCCATGCAGCTGAGCTCGAGGATGCGCTTGGCGTAATGGGTTTGACGGAGGGTGATGCTGCTGGCATCTTGGCACACCTCAACGCCGAGGTAGAAACTGAGGAGGCCGAGGTCGCTCATGTCGAACGTCTCCTTCATCTGCGCCTTGAACTTCTCCACCTCTCCTTCTTCAGCGCTGGTGATGATGAGGTCGTCGACATAGACGCCGACGAGCAGGACAGTGTGCCCGCTGCCCCGCCGGTACACCGCCGCCTCGTGCGCGCTCTGCTGGAAGCTCATCTCCTTGAGCGTGGCGTCCAGCTTCGCGTTCCAGGCGCGCGGGGCGTACCGCAGGCCGTAGAGGGCCTTGCGCAGGCGATACACCTTGTCTTCCTCTCCGGTGACAGTGAAGCCTGGTGGCTCACGCACGTACACCACCTTCTTGAGGTCGCCGTTGAGGAATGTGGACTTCACGTCCATGTGATGGACTCGCCATCCCTCTTGAGCAGCCAGCGCGAGGAAGACCCGGACCGACTCTATGCATGCCCCTAGGGCGAACGCGTCGTCGTAGTCGATCCCCTCCTGCTAGACGAAGCCGCCCGCCACCAGCCGCGCCTTGTGCTTGGTCATCGCGTCCTTCTCATCCTTCTTGAGCTTGAACACCCATTTTCAGGGTAATGAGGCAGTGGCCATCAGGTAGGTCGACCAGCTCCCATGTCTTGTTCTTCTCAATGGATTTGAGCTCCTGCTCCATCGCCGCTTGCCATGCTAGATTGCCCTGCGCCACAGCATAAGTGGTTGGCCCGCCGGCGTGCGTCAGGTGCAGCTGGGCGAAGAGTCGCGCGCTGGCCTGGTGGAGTTCCGTCGCCGATGATGTTAGTCATCGTGCGGTAGCAAAGAGGTTCGTCATCGTAGAAGGCGTCCAGACAGACCTCATCGTCCTCCAGCGGCGTGGCATACTCGATTGGAGCTTGATCGTTGGGCGGTGGTGTAGCAGCAGGCGAGGTAGGGGATGCAATAGCCAGGGACGCCGGTGGTGTGGCCGGCTGAGGCGCTGGTGGAGTGCCTGCTGCCGTCGTCGCGCTTCCGGGCTCCCCTGGATTTGGTGACGGCGAGCGCGGCGGAGCTGATGAAGTAGTCGACGCTGGTGATGATGATCCAGACGCCGATGGGGATGCACCCAGTGCTCCCCCAGCTCCTCCAACCCACGCGTACTCGACGATGAAGTCCTCCACCGCTTGTGCCTAGTCCTCCACGCCCTTGGTCCAATCTCAGCCGCGTCCTTCATCGAAGACGACGTCGCGCGCCACTCGCACGCGCTGGGACACCGGGTCCAGGACGCGATACGCCTTGGCGCCCTCTGCATACCCGATGAAGACGCCAGGCTTGCTGCAATCATCAAGCTTCCCCACCTGGTTCAACTCCTTGACATAGGCGAGGCAGCTAAATGTGTGGAGATGCTCCACCGTCGGTGATCGCCCGTGCCATGCCTCATACGGGGTCTTGCCCTGCAAGCTCTTCGTCGGCGATTGGTTGAGCAGATAAACTGCTGTCATCACCGCCACTCCCCGGTACTTGATCGGCATGCTTCTCTGCTTCAGCAGCGCCCGCGCCGTGGCCACCACAGTTTGGTTCCGGCGCTCGACCACGCCATTCTGCTGCGGCGAGTAGGGGGCGGAGAAGTGGCACTGGATGTCTTCATCCGCGCAGTAGGCAGGGAACTCCGCGGCGGTGAACTCCCCGCCGTTGTTGGTACGCAGCACCCGGAGCTTGCGACCACTCTCCTTCTCAACTGCTACATGCACTTGCTTGATGGTGCCTGCAACAGCTCCCTTGGTCGGCAGAAGAACCGCCCACATGAAGCGGGAGGTGCCGTCGACCAGCAAGAGGAAGCGCCGCCCGCCAGGAGTCGCCGGCGTCACGGACCCGCAAAGGTCGCCGTGGACAAGCTCGACCTGCTCCTGCGCGGTACAAGGCCTGGTGAGGGAAGCGACGTCTCCTCTGCTTCGTGATGACGCAGGTGTCGCAGAACTACTCGACGTGCTTGATCACCGGCAGCACGTGCACCATGGCCTCCTCGTCAAGTTTGTGCAGCGCCTCGAAGTGGAGGTGCCCAAACCACTCGTGCCAGAGCCATGCTTCATCATCCTTGCGTGTGGCGAGGCAAAGTAGCCGAGCCGTCTCGAGATGGAGGACGTAGAGGCGGTTCGGTCCGCGGCGAACCTTGACGAGAAGCTGGCCGCGCCGTTCCCAGATCCTCAGGGCTCCTTGTCGATCTCCACCTTTGAGCCGCCCTCGTCCAATTGGCCGAGGCTCATGATCGAGTTGTGCAGCGCCGGGATGTAGTAGACGCCGTGAAGCACCCGGTGCTCGCCGGTCTTGCCATCGAACATGATCGACCCGACGCCTTGAATCTCCACCTTTGAGGCGTCGCCGAAATTCACCGAGTCGCGGACATTGCAGTCGAGGTTGGTGAACAGCTCGCGACGGCCGGTCATGTGGTGGGTGTAGCCGCTGTGGAGGTACCAGCCGTCAAGCTTGTCCTCGCCGGAGCCGGTGTTGAGGAAGGCACGGGCTCGCGGCTCCTCGATGTTGAGGCTGGTGGCGGACTTGGTGCAGAAGGTTGAAGCTTGCGCCTTGCCGCCGCTCCCTTTTGCGTCCAACTCCAGGAAGCCATGCGCGAGAAACATAGCGGCCTCCTCCTCTGCTTCCGCGACATTCGCCGCGTCGCCACGCTCGCGCTGAGGGAAAGGGCAGTCTTTGGCCCAGTGGCCAGCCTAGTTGCAGTTGAGGCAGGTGTCGTCGCGATTTTACTTGCGTTCGCTGCTTGACCGCCGTTGTCACGATCACCCTTGGGCTTGTTCTTCTTGCCGCCACGGGGATGCCGACGACGCTCCTTCGACGATCCGGAGCCATCCTCCTCCTTTTTCTCAAAGGCGCGCCACTGCTCAACCGTGTACAACAGCTTGCCGCCGACGGCGTCCGGCTCGGTGTGAGGCGCCTCCTTGTGATCTTGCACCGCCTTCAGCCTCCCAGTCACCACCTCGACGAAGAGCACCTCAAAGTCAACGAGCGTCTCTATCGCGAGCACGATCTAAGAGTACTTCTTCGGCATGCAACGCAAAAGCTTCTCCACCGTGCGTGCCTCCGTGAGGTCTGTGTCGCCGTTGCGTGCCATCTACTGCATCAGATTGGATAGACAGAGAGCAAAGTCCTCAACTTGCTCACCGGGGTGAAAGGTGCGGACTTCCCAGTCCTGTCGGAGTCGCTGCAGCGTCGCGCGGCGGACACGATTGTCGCTGATGCGTGTTGTGGCAATGAACTCCCACGCCAGCTTCGCCGTGGCCTTGTTGGCGAGGCAAGCACCGAGCTCTGGAGGCACGGCAGCGCACAACGCCTCGAGCGCCGCTGATCGTCATAGAAGTCGACGCCTCCGACATCGACGTCCTCCCAGAGCAGTCGAGCTTGCATCTTTACCTTCATTAGAAGGCTCCACTCGTAGTAGTTCGACTTGGTGAGCATTGGCCATGGCGAGCCCACCCCTGACTCCCGGTACACCGTCTAGATCACCGGAGACCTGGGACGGCCTCCATGTCCATAGCGGCGCTCTAGTGACGGTGTGCGGTGCCTCCTAGGGCTTCGCGATCCGCGGGGCTCCCTCTCCATCTCCACTCACAACGCTTCGGCGGTTGCCGCTGCGGCTTCGGCCACAGCAGCCGCCTGCCTGGCCGCCTTGATCGTCTGCGCAGCCGCTGCCTCTGCGGCAGCAAGGCGCACAACGCAGTCATCGGCTCCATCTCCTACCGCCGCGCCGGGGTTGATCACCGCACCGGTGGCGGTGGCGGCACGATGCGCTCGCTCGCTGGAGGTGGACATGGCTGCTCTGCTCTCTCAAGAACCTAGGGCTCTAGATACCAATTGTTGGCCAGGTGAACACGAAGTGGATCTCAGATTTAGGGTAAGGCCAGAGGGCAGCTTGGCCATTGGCCGCTTGATTCAATTGAAATGCAATAGCTTGATACAAGATGGTCTATGTCACTGCTTTTATAGAGCAGATGGCTTCTCTCCCTCTCACCTACTCCAGCACTTTTCTAACCACTAAAGTAGATGCTGAGCATATTCTTAATACTAGGCCATTAGCAGCCGAAATGTAAAGTACAGGAAATAGTAAGATACAAGCACTAGGCTTAACCATCAGGGTATACATAATCTTGTAATCTTCTATGGGGTCTAAGGATGTGCTGGTTGTGGCTCCAAAAAATGCAACCTGATCAACCTTGGGCGGGACTGCAGTTACCCATTCATGTCAACACTTCAGCACCGTTTGCTTCTCAATTACTGCTCAAGTGGATAATGGTCGTAACACGCTGTTTTGGTCCTTTTGGACTGATTATTGGCTCCATGGTCACTCCCTCGTAGAGCTAGCGCCTGCCTTGGTTGCGTTCTGAGGAGGGCATTCAATCAGAGAGCTGCTGTCCAAGCCCTAGAAGACCAAAGACTTGGAATCTTAACACAGAGATACGCAACCCTATTGTGTGTTCAAGAAAAAGAAAGCATGTGTGCTGACTTATCTTTTGAACATTATGGATAACTTGGCGATCTTATTTGATACAAAAATTCATTAGCATTATGTGCAGAATCCACTGTCTAGACAGGAAATGAAGCCAAAAGTAGCTAAAGAGAGAGCGAGAGATTAAAAAAAGGATCCTACATGGGACAACGGTAATATTTTATGAACTTAATAAACAGGAAACTAACCTGACTCAATACACATTTCATAGCGCTTTATAAGAGAATGCCCTCAATTTCTTGGCAACGACAATCTTATCTTTTTAGAAGCGACTATTAACTTGTGCAAAAAGTGCGCTAAAGTCTGTAGTTGGCGTCCCTTCACCTTCTGGTTTTGATGCCAGATCAAATGCCTTAAACTTTGCCTCTTCGAATAGCAAGGCCTGCATAGGAAAGTCACAGATCAATCAAACGCTAGAGTTAGCACTTATCACAAGAGCTTGAGAAAAGCATGGATCTACAGCTGTGTCTTCCACTGTACGAAGCTACCTGTATGCAAACTTCTGCAACATCGGCCCTGGCAATAGTTCTTGTTTCTGTTTTCAGGATCTCATCATCCTTCCCAACAATCAACTCTCGCAAGCCACCATCTTTATCTTGTAAACCGCCAGCTCTGCAAGGAAAAGAAAAACGAACAGTAGATTACCAACATAAGCATTCACAGTTATAGCTTTAGCAACTCTCCTTGTGTTACAACCTTATAATTGTATATGGAAGACCAGAGTCCGCTAGGTACTGTTCTGCCTTGCGCTTCCACACCTTAAAATTTTGAAGAAAATCACTAGGAAGTTCCCAAACAAAGCAGGCATGCAGATGATGTTCCCATGCACACAACACATGCGCATGGACAGACAAACATAAAATAGAACAAGTTGGAAGAAAAGCTAAATATTCTATGTACCAGTATATTCGCATTTCCTAACTTGTTTAGTGGGTGATTGATGTCTGTTCCTCCCATGGATCCCACCAAAACTATGTGCTTTGCACCAATGTTCTTAGCTGCGTAAACATGCAAGAAAAAGAAGCTGAGAAACAAAAAAAGAAAGTTATGTTTGCCAGCACGGGAAAAAAAAAAGGCAGCTTCACCGAACTGTCATTTTGAAATGGTCAGTAGTTTAACAGATTAGCATAAAAACACAGGTTGTGTATGAAGCTTCAATAAACGACATATATGCAAGACAAGGGGTAGCATTTACCAGCATCTATTTGATTCTTTTGGCCAATCCAATCCACCTTGAAACAGAGACAAACAACACAGAGCGTTAATTCCAAACAAATTCAGGAACTGACACAGCACTGTAATGTAAGCATTATATCAAACAATTTCAGCCACCTGTTCAGGATAGCTCCCTTCTTCAAAGTAAAACTCAGGGCGGCCCCCTTTGCTAGGATCAAACCCCGGCTTCATTTTCGGGACCGCGCTGGTGAGGATGATGAGCGCGTCGATGCCCTCGATCGCAGGAGCAATGCTCTCGGGGTCTCTTATGTCGCCGATGAACACGTCGTCACCGCCTCCGATTTTGCCCTTGCTCTCTCCTGTCCTGACTAGGCCTCGTCCCACAAACTGGCCTGCCCTCTCCTTCAACTTCTTGTACACAATTTGGCCTGAATTACCGCAAATGGGGAAAATTGGATTTTTGCAAACGTAGAGATGAATCAGCAACAATGAAACGAGAACTTTGCCTACGGATGCCAAATTCCAAATGAGCGGAACTTGAGGAAACCTACCTGTTCGGCCGCCGGCGGTGGTGACGAGCACAGTGCGCGGCGACCCACCGCCGGCCGCGGCGGCCGCCGTGACGACCAGCCCGGCCTTCCTGGGTCCCCGCCTCGCTGAGATAACGTGGCAGGGATGCCGGAGAGGTGGGCCCATGAACGGAGAAGCCACCCGCACACACGCCGATGCCGTGGCCATGGTTCTCCGGCGAGTGGGCACTGGGCAGCAAGCAGCTGGTCAGTTTACTACTGTCTCCTTATCGCTTTCGGCCTTTCGTGCCGCAGGTTGGCGACGGATGATGATGGCCGTTTAGGCTTGTTGGGCTGCATGTGTCAGTGGGCCATACCCACTACCAATTGGGCCCGCTTTGTCAGGATTTACTGGAAGTGGCCCAAAAATTGGTTTTGCAAAATCTGTCCTTTAAAATATCACTTCCGAGTTTCCGTAGATTATTACTCAGGGCCTATCATCAATGAAACACATCCGATCCTACAAAAATCAATGAAACACATCCGATCCTAAAAAAAATCAATGAAACACATCCAAGTTTTTTTTATAGACAAGAATTAATGTAGAGGTTAGAGTTACACCTCGATAAATGTGTGTTTTTTTTTTGACAAATCGATAAATGTGTTCGTTGGTAGGAAGATTTTGAAGTTTTGGAAAATGGTGGTTCTAAAACAAAGGTTTTAAAGAAGTAGCGATCAAAGCCTAGAACAGTTCTTGTGGAGTGAGAGTAGTATGGGTAGTAGGAATTCTAAGAAGATCAATTAGAGGTCTGGCGATCAATATAGTTGTAGTGTTAAATAGATAGAAAGACAATTTTGCTGAGGAATACAATAATCAAGATCTCATCTATGAATCTTGAGAGTTAACTATGGATGAAACGGCTAGAATGAAGCAGATAGCCAAAGAACATGGTAAGATTTGGGCATTGGAGGAGGAAATTAAAGGTAGACAAAGATCAAGGTATAAATGTTTTTGAGGGGGTAGAAACACGGTATATTTTAGGTTGTAGCAAATCAAAGAAATAGAAAGAAAAGAATTGAAGTTCTAGAGGGTCTCAATTTCTAGTGGAAGACCAAAGGTGTAATAAATATAAAGGTGAACTTTTTATAAGAACTTTGCTTTCTATAGGAACTAGAATAGAGGTAGTGCTAGTCTAGATACTAGTTTCTGGACTAAATTGAGAAGGTTACTAGAGAGGAAAACAATGATGAGTGGGTGGAACTTTTTTTTTGAATAGAAATTAAGAAAGACATGTGTAGATGGACTAAAAGGGCTCTAGACGATGGACTATCTTTTCATTTTACTAGGCCTTCTAAGAAAACTATCAAAAGTTATCTAATCAACCCGTTTATTAGTTATTTTTGTGAAGGGAAATCAGATCTTTTTCATGTTAAATTTTGCCATGTCAACCTTAATTCCCAACGAAGCTAAAGCTAGGAATATGTTAACTAATAGGCTCGGGAAGTTAGCTCAACCTTAGAGGTTGGTTTCTGTGCTTTCATCAAGGGCATATTTGTCCCGAAAAGTGCAACAACAACACATGGGATTGTTTATAGTGTTCACAAAAGTGAAAATCCAGGAATTATTTTGAAATTAGATTACAGAAAAGCATATGACATAGTTAGTTGAGATTTTCTTATTGACATCCTAGCTAGAATCTAAATCTAAATGGAGAAGAAAATAAGTTCTTCAAATTTGGTAAAGGTCTTACAGGGGACCCTATCTCCCGCATTCTTTTCAACCTTGTTGGTGATGTCTTGACTAGAATGTCAGTGAAGGTAGCTCGAGCTAAGTTAGTTTAAGCTCTTATGTTTGATTTTAGATATGAGATGATGCTATTTCCCCCAAAATATGTAGATGATACCATTATTTTTTGGATGTTGGTAAGGATCACTTGAAGAATCTAAAAGGTATCATGGTATATGTTTAACAAATTTATGACACAAGGATCAACTTCCACAAAAGAGAGATTGTTCCCCATAGCTGACTTGATAAAATGGGAGGACAGAGATTGAGGGAAAGATGAAAGATGGAGTTGCAAAGGTGCACACGTGGAGGGGAAAGGACCTGCAATGAATAGTTTTAAAACTTTATAAACTTAAGAAATCTACTTTTGGAGTTGATGGATTTAACGGAAACCCCATATAAGTAAATAATGGACCCTCAATGCATCTAACTCAATTAGTTTTAGCCAATGGAAAGCATGATGCAATTGGGGGGGTGTAAGGAGGTGCCCATCAGCGACTTATGTCACCCCATAATGGACCCTCAATGCATCTAACTCAATTAGTTTTAGCCAATGGAAAGCATGATGCAATTGGGGATGTAAGGAGGTGCCCATCAGCGACTTATGTCACCCTGTTGAATATCCTCCACACGGTTATAGATTTTGTGACTATACCATATGCGTTACTACTAAAGCGGCACAGGCTATAGCCTATAGCTACGAAAGGCGGTTGCTTATCGATATGGTGATGAATGCTGGAGGCGGCTAGAGATACACCGTGTAACGTACGCATGCATCATGCCTATTATGCCTGCTCTGGCACAATAATGCATGGTAAGTCCGTCCATACCAACTTACCTACAGTCATCATTGCGGGAACTACCATAGTGCATGCACATTTGCGGCGGGGGAATCGAGTGGCGGCGACCGAGATGACGAGAGAAGCATGACAGGCGCGTGCGCCCCTCGCATCCTTTTCTGTGTTTGGTTCGAGGGACGACCCTTCTCATGCGCGTCACAGACCGATGATGACATCGGCGCCCTGCAATTCCTTGGTTTGGAATCTATAGCAGACATGGACCCCTACTTTCTCAACAGAATGCACGCTAGGGTGCACGGTGTTGCTGCGCTGTGGGTTTGTCTACAAGCTCAGCTGTTGGGGTTTCAGTTACTGGTGGCTACTATAAAAGGCCACGCCCTCGGGCGCAAGTGACACTGCCCGGTGGGTCCCCCTTCTCCTTCCTTCCTCTCCTCACTGAGTTCGATGGAGGAAGGTTTCGAGGGGAGCGAGAAGCAGCGAAGAAGCAAGCGGTGGCGGAAGAAGCTAGCGAGGAGCGGCAGCAAGAACACCTGAACATCGAGACGGTGCAGGGGGCCGCCAACGCCTGTGCACGCGCCGCGGCACGGCAGGAGGTGGTCTTCGCGCAGGACGGACCTGAACATCGAGGCGGCGTAGGGCGGTGACGCCCACACACCGGGCGCGGCGGGTGGTGCCGCCACCGCAGCCGCATGCATCCACCACCAGCAGCAGCAGCCGCCGCCGCCGCCGGTCGTCTTTGACTGTGACTGACTGACTGTGAAAGTGAATCTTTGTTCATGTATGTACCTCCGTTGCTTGTCTCTTGTTATTTATCTAACTTTGCGATAGGCAAGGCTCAGTTCATTAATTATTCTCGCGAATTGATCCATCGTTCCTGATGAATGTGCTGCTGGTGATATGATGCATACATGAAATGAAACATATGCATTGCAGCGCATATGGTTTATTTGTTAGTACTGTTTTCACTCATCAGAATTTAATCATAAACAAGACTAAACTGTCTTAGATTCTTTTCCATAAATTAAAAGATAAAAAATTTGGATTAAAGCGAGGAGGGGTCGTGGAGTCGAAGATCGATCAACCCCTAACGGTAACAGATCCGGCGGAAAGAAATGGAAACTGCAATGCCTTTCTCCTGCGTTTCATACGTGTGGTTGTTTGCACTACTGGACTAGACAAAAATGCATGCATTATGCATTGAACTGTGCTGGAATGGAAAGTAGCTGGCTGGGCTGGCTGGCAGCAACTGATCGACAGAACGAGTAACCGCATGCAGGTGAGTGAGTTGTGCACTCATCCGTTTCATTTGACTGTTTTACATGTAACACTACCGAAAACAGTGGCTTTGCCGTGTGCCACAGACACTTGGCAAAGCCCACAAAACACTCGGCAAAGGTTTTGCCGAGTGTAACACTCGGCAAACAGCACACGATATCTACAGTGCCGGCAAACGTCTCTTTGCCGAGAGCTGAAACCGATGCTTGGCGAAAAAAAGTAACGCGACGGCGCGGAGATGGTCATGACGCGTTTGCCAAGTGTCCCAGACCTGACACTCGGCAAACCTGCCTTCTTTGCCGAGTGTCAAATCCCGGGCACTCGGCAAACCTGCCTTCTTTGCCGAGTGTCAAATACAAGACACTCGGCAAAGACTGGCCCAGAACGTACAAATGTTGGCTTCTTTGCCGAGTGTCACAGCGCAGACACTCGGCAAAGAAGCTATTTTAGTCCCAGAATATACAGAAATTTGCCACGTGTCCGCTTTGCCGGCCTCTTTGCCGAGTGTAACACTCAGCAAAGCGACCATATATTCCCTGTTTTTATTGTTCGGTCATGTATAACGTACCCCATTCAAATAAACATTACAGGTATCACACATAGTTCACAATAAGCATCACAGTCAGTTCATATAGATATATCGACAACACATAAATGTAAATAAACTTCAGCCACAGCATCCGCCTTGGCCTCGTATCCCTCCTCGTATCTAAAGAAATCATGCATATAGACGCGATGTATTCAGTTATTATTTCAAGAATATCCAATCACTGCGATGTATTGAGCAATGTAGTGCGAGAAAGACTTACCCAAAGCTCGGCCTTGACACGCTGCGCCTTGTCGGCGAATACCCTGCCATCCCAATCAGGGACGGCGGCATAGTGGGCCCATGTGTAGGCCAGCTCGATAGTTTCGCCGAACTGCACCAAGCTAGGGAGCTTTTCCTTGATGAAAAGACCAAGGATGTCGTTCACATGGCGTGCGTGATCACCCCCACCGACCTTCCTCCAACCCCTGCCCAAGTGATTAAGATAAATTATTAGTTTCTATTATAATTTTGAACATATCAAATGAAAAATTAGTGATAACATCTAAAGTTATTTACTTATCTCCATCGGGTCGAATCAGCGGGCGTCTCTCAAGAGGTATCGGTCGCCTCGGTAGGGTCAAGGGACCTCGCAACCACACACACGATGAAGTAGAGGAAGAGGTACCCTTATCTCCTCCTCCACCCCTGCCTCCTCCTCCACCTGTACCTCCTCCTCCTCAGAGGATGAGTGAGCGAAAGGTAACTCAGACGGCGACGAAGGTATAGGCGACGGTGGCCTCGTCTTGCCTCCACCCTTCCCTCGACCCCTGGGTCTACCC